AATTATTTTTGAAATATCAGTTGCTTGTAGGGTTCAGGGGATCTCGTAGTCGAGCAGTCTCGACTAGAGCTTTCTTACTTGTTATTTATTTGTTTAATCATTGAACCCCTTGATACACATTTTAAAAGATATTTCTTATGCCCAACTCACTGAGGGTATTTATGTTTCGTTAAGACTTTCTTCGAGCAATTTCCTTTTGGGTTTTGCATGTTGGCCGTCTTGTATCCTCGGACCACGTAATCATGTTACGACACACAGCCTGACATCACAGTTTCAGCCAAAAGCGATTAATATCGCACACGACACGAAGCTGGGCAGGAGCAAGACTCGAAACTCCAGAGTAAAGACTCCAGACTCCAGAGTCCAACTGGCATCAGCAGCAGCTCCCACAACGAGCTCCCATTTGGCTGTGTGGAAGGAATATGATGCCAGCTCTGACTCCAGCTGGTCATTGTTGTTGTTGCTGGTGGTGGTGGTGGTGGTGGGTGCTGGTGCTGCAGGCGGCCCCAAAAGATTTCGTTTAAAATGACTTAATGGCAAACAGCTCATAAATTCACGAATTTGCATAAACCGACTCGATTATTTGGGCAACATTTGCAATTGCAGCGAGGGAAGCGCCCCTCGGGGCACATCCAACAGTCAGGTCGCAGCGAGTGAGTCAGCTGCAGCAGTGGCAGTGGCAGCGGCAGCTGAAACACGAGCTAGAGCTCTTGTGACTGGCAGCCTAATAAACACAATTAACTTCATCATTTTGAACTCAAATTATTTCATTTCAATGCGATAAAATCGCAAATCACGAAGCGGCAGCCAAAGCGAAAGCGCGGCTCTAGCCAAAATAAACGAAAAGCCAGTCGAGCAGACAATAGAGCCAGACACAGCAGCAACAACAGCAACAACAACAACAACAACGGACAATAACAGACAGAGATCGGTGAAAATTAAGTCAAACTGTTGCTGCAAAACGTTTTGCCAATCGGCTCGACCAATCGAACCGATCTCGGGACTTTGGCCTGTTGCACCCGCACCACCACTGAGCACCACCAAAGCCACTTTCAATTGCCTGGGCAGAGCAGCTGCATCGGGAATGAGACTGGCACGGCCATGGGCCATAGGGATAGGCTAGGGACGTGTTGAGCTGGCATCGATGGAGTCTCTTTGGGCAACGAAGGTACAGCATAATGTTGCATGTCGCGCCAATTGTGTACACGATTTGACTTGGCAGCCGGCTGACAGTGCTGCCCACAATGCTGTTGCCAGTTGTTGTTGCCAGTTGTTGTTGCTGTTGCTGTTTGTGTGTCAGCTAATCAGCTGGCAAGTATCTCATCTTCGAGGACTACTAGCAACTGCCAAAACAACAGCGCAACAAGGCACACGAAAAACTACCAAGTCATGTTGCCTGCCGACTGCTGATTGTTGTTGTTGTTGTTGTTGGCGTTGCTCCTGCTGCAGTTGCTGTGATTGTTGTTGTTGCTGGACTTTTGCAAATAAATCTCTTGGCCATGGCTGCTGTTGGCTGTTGTTGTTTTTGCCTTTGCCATGGCACCCAAAAACTTGGACACAACACAATCAGCCAGCAGCCCAGTCATGTATTGCTGCTGCCGCTGCTGCTGCTGCAGTTGTTGTTGTTGCAGTTGTTGCAGTTGTTGGTGTTTCCTGGAAAGCGTTTCCTGCATTTAGCTTTGTTAGTTTGCTTTATAACTATGTTGGCGGTACAGTTGGCTGTTCAATGCAATTGCATATACCCTGGATCTAAGGTAAAGTAGATTGGAATATAGGGTATAATACAGTTATTCAAGAGAAGAAAGTCCCTCTACATAGTTTAAGCTATATTACAGTCATCTATCCATACGTCTAAGTCAGGAGGAGGAGAACGATTCTAACTACCTAATGGCATTGCAATCATCTATTGCTCACTTTACAGGGCATCTCCCAGTCGATCAGTTGGTACTTGGCGCACTTTTACCAGACCGCGCTGATTTAGATCGTGTCCACCAACGAATTCGCTGGCAGTTGACTTTATGAGGGTCAATCAGGCTAACCAGAGTAGTCTGCAGCAACTGTCCAACTGTCCCGGAATGCGATCGTATCAGAAAACCAGGCACAGGTCGAACATATTTTCAAGCCCATTGAAAATATTTCCACGTGATAGTTGTTGGTGCCTGATTTTGCATATGCCAGCAGCAGATTTCTCCGACCCCATAAAGTGCAAGTATATGAATATATACTAATGTACATATATGTATATGTGTGTATTCTTAATCTGGATCAATATTGGGGATAATCTTAAATGACTTTAACTTTGTTAAATTGGGAATATTAGTAAATATCCATGGTATCAATGGACAATCGAAGCATAGCAAGATGATCTAGAATACATTTATACAGAATATTGTAGAGCTTAAATTTTATGTAAATTTATATAAATTTTAAATAATATTAAAATGTTATTTGATTCATCGAAACTCTACAAATATTTATAAAATATTTATGGACGTCTATTAAGCTCTACAAAATTTTTTAAAATATTTTATCTATTAGAAAATCATATTTCTCAATTTCCAATCAATCATCGCATAGCTTCCATACTATTTCATTTTCGATATATTCCATTCGATACGATATATGTCTAACGTGATTTGACAGCAATCCAAAAACCTACTCAACCTTTCGTTGTTTTTGTAGGAACATTGTTATATTTGCCATTTCAGGGTAGGATTTTCATTTAACATATTTTATTCAAACTGAACACAACAAATTTTAGTTTTTGTAAAAATTATAAATTTCTCTTAAATCCGATATTTGTTTTATAAATTTCTCGGTTTTTATATTTTTATTACACATACATACATGTTCAAAATGTACATAACGGCCCTCTCCCATGTAATACTCGTAGGAGCCTGCTGCTACGCGCTCTACACTCTGACGCCGGCCGAGTTCCCGTATGCGTATACGGCGGCTGCCTTCTGCTTGGTCCACGGACTGCTCGGTGTGGTGCGCACTCTCGAGGGGGGCGGAGAGTGCGATCGCACCTATGCTGTGTCCTCGAACATCGTGGAAGTCATACCCTTGCCGCTGGCCAACATCGAGTTCTACTCGCACTCGTCGGAGTCGGGCGTCGCACTGGTGCACGCCCTCTCCTTGATACTGCTGCTATACGACTTGATAGGCAGCATGGCCGACGACTGGAACAGCTCCACGGACACGGTGAAGGACATCTCGCTGTTGGGCAACATTGCGTCCGGCACATACATTGGCGTACAGGAGGAGAACTACTTTCACGTGGGCGTGGCGGCAGCGGCAGCTGTTTCGCGGTTCGGGCCGACGGTGCTGTGCCCCATCCTGCCTGAAATCATACCCTATCTGAGTAGTCTAGGCAAAGCTGCCATAATAGGGGTCACCACGTACGCTCTAACAAACTAACGGTGTTTTAGTGTCATGCTTAGTTTTTGTTTTATACGTGTTTTTTATATGTTATAATATATATGTATATAGTCGCTGCACTGATTAGGCCAAATGAAACCGTCGATAACCTCGTCTGCATTCCTCCCAGCTTTCCAATTGGCAACGCGCCCGTTGGCGGCCAAAAGCCCAGTTGTGGCAACTGGGCGCGTGTTTGGCAAGAGTTCAGCTCACAGCTGGAGACTGCACTGCTTTTGGCGCATACCTGGACAGCTGGCCAGCCAAAAGACTGGCTGCCTGGCTGACTGCAGCCGTGTTGGATAACAGGCAGCAGCTGAGAGCTGTTGGCCAGCTCTCTGGGCCATAAAAATGGTAAAATGTTGCGTTAATGCGACGTTTGTTCGAACACAGCTTTCAAACAGATCGACGCAGGCAATTGTTTGGACAGGCTTTGCCCAGCCATGGACGGACAGACGACAGATGGATAGCCCGGTCTGGCCTAGCCTGGCCGGGCCTGAACAGCCGCCAGCTGTGTGTGGAGGGGCCTTTGCTTTCGTGTAGACATTTATTCGCTTTGCGTTTGACTCATGAACTGCGCGCCGACTTGGCTTGCGCAGATTTTTGTTTTTCATTTTCTATTTCCCATTTTCCGTTTACTGTTTGGTGTTCTCTGTTTTTCACACGTGTCTCCAGCACTGTTTGGGGAATGTCTACAAACGGGAGCGGCTCTCTTTAGCGCACTTTTCTACTGCGCAGCAATGGCGGCCCAGACGCAGCTGAAGCCCCTTGCCCTGCCGCCCTTCCCGAGGCTCTGGACGTTGCAGTGCGCTGTGGCACAATCGATTTTCCCAATGTGATAAGGTTTCAACTGCTGCGGCTGTTTTATGGGCTTCCGGCCAGCGCACGAATCCTTTCAAGCCGCACACGTGCATCCACTAACGGCATGAAGCAAATATATCCAAGGGTAGCTGCGCTGCGGCAAAAACAACACGAAACACGTGTCGCGCGGCATCAATTGAAAGCCGCGACTGCTGCTGCTCCCCCTCCTGCTCCTGCTCCTGCTGCTGCTGCTGCTGCTGCACATCTATCAAAACACGTTCCGGAAATCGGAAGTGCGTAGCTGCCGCTGCCTACGTCTCTGCTGCCTATGCCTTGGTCTTCGTCTTAAGCGTTGCCATTTCCCTCCCCCGCCTCCTCCTCCACGGCCTCTGCTCAGAGGGTGGCTACGCCCATGTTGATGATGTCAGCATGCGGGCAACAAAAAGGACAATCGATTGTTGTGACACTGGATTGTGTGGCAAGCGACGGCCGTAGTAGTAGCAGAAGTGAAGCCCCTGCCACATCTTTAAATGCAACTCATCCCGCTTCATGCGTTGCCTGGCGAAGCCTTGCCGCGCCTCAATTAACGCTGCCCAGTGGAACGTACGTACGTCTGTACGTCCATCCGTCCGTCCGCTCCCACGGCCTTCGCTTGGCGTCGCGCTGCGTGCTGCACGTGCAAGGCAGGACATTTATTGGATTTTTGCCATGTTTTTATTTGTTTCTATATTTGCACAGAATTCCAATTAAACGCCAATGGAAATGAGAATGGGAATGGGATTGGGAAATGGATTTGGGATGGGCATCACTAAGGCACCGCGGCAGCCAATGCTGATCGTCATACAGGGTGTGCCAGAAATCATATAGAGAATTTGCAATGTGAGAAGCAGCATGGGAAAAGGGTTTAATGAGTTGAGCAAGGAAAAGGCCGTGAAATCTTATTGGATTTTTGTTTAAATAAGAAAAACATATCAATAATATTCTTAATAATATACTAGAAGTTTAATATGATGTATATGTATTGGGCATATGGAACTATAAATAGCAAGAGAATCTCAAATATGCAGTGAAAATAAATAAAATCTTATTGGAATATTTCTTGCAAGTATATAATGGAGCCATATGTTACGGGAATAAATTCATACATAGCATGGGAATGTGAATGAAAACAGAATTTAAATAGCGGGAATATAATCAAATTAAAAATATTAAATAAACAAAATTGTATTAACATTTTTCTAATAAAAAATATAATGTTATTTATAAAGAAAATATAAGCATATATAAAATATATATTTAAAATATTTTTAAAATAAATATTTAAAATATTTTATATCTGCTTATAAAAAAATACTGGAGAATTTCCATTTGCTCCCATTCTTCTTCGTCCAATTCCACTTTAAAGTCTTCAAAATGAAGGCTCTTTTAGCTGAAGACTTAGTAAAAACTTCTATTTCTAAGGCTTCTGCTTGGGCACCCTGTATGCAATTAATGCTCTACCACATCAAGTGAAACGCCAATAGTGCAAACGGCAATTGGATGACGCTGTGCCGACTTGGAGTTGGTCTTCGAGTCGCTTGGACGACTTGGACTCCACCCCAATCAACGACTGCGGCGACGGCGGCAACACGGGGGGCATCAGTTTTTGAGGCACACGCTGCGGATTAGACGTGTAATCAGCATAAAATGTTGCACGGAGACGGGGCACCAAAGTGTGCAAACACGAAATCCAATATGTGATATGGCAACACACACACACACACACACCAACACACACATACACACATTGAATTGTAATCGCGGCCAGCGGCCATGTCGATGATGACGATGCTCGTACGCATGTCCCTGCACAAACACAGATGCAGCAACAGCAACAACAACAGCCGCAGATACACAGATACACAAACAGCCAAAAGATACAGATACAAATGCGAGTGCGAGCAATGAGTGGAGCGTGGAACACGTGCAAAGCCGCGGGGGACTTGCACGACTTTTGTGACGAGGCCGTAGCAGGAGTTGGAGCAGTCAGAGCAGGAGTTGGAATTGAAGCTGGACCTGGGCTGGGCCACGCACCCAGAAAAATATCGACAAAAAAAAATGCCTGCAATGCGCGTTGCCTGTCGCATTTAATAACTGTTTTTAATAAGTGTCCCTTGCGGCCATGCGTTGCGCCGTCATTTGCATGGGCCCCCTCCCCTTCGCCCACCTACCGCCTGCCTACCTGTTTGCCAGCGCCCAAATATGTTTTACTCTCGTACTCTAATTGCACGCCCCGTTTGACTCACGCTCGCGCGCACTCCTCCTGCCGCTGAAGGTGCAAGGGGCCGTCGCCGCTTGCAGCGTGCAGCGTGCAGCGTGCAACATGCAACATGTTGGCTGCAATTTATTAGTGCTGCCATTATCGTTTTTCTTCAGATTTTTTTAGCTCCAGCTCAGCTGCGTGTCGTCCACAGCAACAGCACCAACTCCTGCTCCTGCTCCTGCTCCTCCGCTTAACACAATTCTCGATTCTCAATTCTCAGCCAGCAAATATTTATTACTATAATTTTCCATATGTTTTCCCTGCATTGCGTTCTGCTTGTTGCCTTTTTCGGCAAATTGCGCCTGGAAATTGCGGCCATAATTTGTTGCTCACTAAATATGAAGATCAACCAGTTGCTGCTGCTGCTGCTGCGGCTGCCATCCCCCTTCCCTCCCCTTCGCCCTCTTCGCAACGTGCGGCACGATCCGTGGCTATGTCTGCATTTGCGTCTCTGTTTGCGCCCCCCCTCCAAAAAATTTATTAACTTGTGCAAAATTAGTCGTTTTAGTCGTTTAGTCGCTGCAATTTGATTTTTATTGCAGCTTGTAAATTGTAGCGCCATGTTAGAGCTGTTAGAGCCGTGTATCTATGAGATACATTTTTGCCAGCGCTCGCATCCTGCAATTAGTCTACGTCGTTCTCTATCTCTCTCTCTGTCTGTCTGTCTCGCTCTGGATCTGTTTATGTGGCACTGAAATTGTTGCACTAATCAGCTGACAATTTATGAGGCATTCGCATTTGGTTAACAAAAAGAATGTTGCATGTACATAAAAAGCAGAGCCCAGAGGACTGCAGCAGAGACAGTGGAAGGGGAAGGGGAATGAGCAGGGGCAGAGAGGAAGCGACAGCGACTAGATGGAGAATTAGTCGAGCTATGCAAAGCATGTGGCGTCCATAAAGCAGTTCAAGAACTTTGATTAGTTGTAATCTTAACCAGCTGCATCGTAAAAACAAGCAGGAAAGCAGCGGCAACAGCGCAAGGCATGCACGACTAGCTAGATACCCTAAATGAATGAATGACTTACATAACATATTCAACTTAAATATCATATATTCGTATACCTCTTCTCAAGGTCATTTGGAACTGCGAGCTGTCGTATTTTCTCTGCGCTGTTACGATCAACCCCTCAGCTCGTGCATACCCACTTTAGTTCCCCGACGGCGACAAAGATGCTTAAACATTTTTAATTACAAGTTCTATGTGTGGGCCCCGGTGACAAGACCCTTTTAATAGCCCTGGTTCAGGGACTTGCAACATCTCTATAAATTGACTTCCAACTGCATTTCATGTCAGCCGAATTGCTCTTTCGAGTGGGCAAAGCCCGAAGACCTGGCAACATTTTGTGGAGATTTAAGGCGTTGAGAGGCCAGCTCTTGATTTTAGTAAATATCAGAGGGGCTGATATTGCTGCAGAGGTAAAGCAAAGGTAGATTGTGATTAGCAGTTAAATTATAAATGAGAATAGTCCATATGATGACAGAATATAAATACAAAAGTATGTATATAAATAAAGTTAAAATAAATAATTACTGATTATTTATTATTTTTGCTTGTTATAAGATTTAATTTTAGCTAATAGTTTCTTTCAATTCGTTTAATTTAATATACAGCTCTTAAATCATTCAATTAGTTACATTTAATACGCAGCTCTGTTATTAAAAATATCAGTGTGGTTGAGCACTAAATTTTAGAAAATAAAATTTACTTTAACTTTATTTATGTATTTCGAATTGTTAGTCACTTTGTGGTGCGAACTCTGCAAGCCACAAAAATTAAGTAAACCATATGATAAGACCATTTAGCCATATAAAATGCAATTTTGGCCAGTCGCAGTCGCTGACTCCAGGCTAATGAAATTAGTCCACGGAGCCGTGTAAAATATTGTGAGCCATTAAATGCGCCGCAAATCATGTAATTCAATACAATTTGTTGGCAGCCAGAGCGTTTAACACTTGAACCA